ATCCAGTAGGACGCCATCGTCAATATGGAACTTACTGGTGTTTTTATGATGCTTCACACTAGAATGTTGCATTTTTTTCGATTCCCTTGCATCTAACGTTATATGTTAGGTATTCGATGTTGAATTATTATTTGGATATTAAGTGTAAAATAGCTAAAAGCATTCAGTAAAGTATTTTTGAACTTTAATTTAAATCCAGGGTTTCGATCCGTTGATAAGTTCTTCTGAAAGACAGTTCATGCTGGCAGGACAGCATTTAATGCGCTTGTGATGTACTTTCAGCCTGGTTTGAACTTGCCTTTGCTGTTTTTTTGATGTACACCGCGCATGTTTTCAAAATAATGTTGGCTGTGGTAGATTCATTACCCGACACTTTTGAATTCTTCGATTGCGCATAACGTAGTTTAACTTTTTTTTTGTTCTTTTAACTACATCGTTCCTTCCTGGAGTACTTAGCAGCAGATCCTCTGCTTAACAGAATTTCGTATTATCCTGGAAAAGTTCGATTTCAGTCAGTAGGAATTCTGACCTCTGTTCCGTTGAATTAAAGCGATGAATGATAGCTTGATTTCAGTTGGTTAAGAATTCGATTTAATTTGTATTTGAAATTTCGTATTTGAGTGGCGAGGTTATGTGTAACAGGGAGTTAATATCTTCATCGCTATAGTTGAAGATTTTCATTATTACGATTATTCATTATGTAAATCAGTGAATAACTGGAAATGAGCTGTTTCACAATTTGTGATACTGTATGATCTCTTTTAGATATGTGCAGTTATTTAACTAGGTCACGCTAATTGTTTAATTTAGAACAGACTTTAGTAGCACAACTTATCCAACAGTTCACGTTATTTTTGGTTGACGGACTTGTGCTTTTCATGTTTGGTGAAAGCGCAAAACAGACTTGGTTCATGGAACATCACTGGCGACGATGAAGGCATTGTAGCCAACAAAATGATGCAAGGTATATTTGTGCACCGTAGTTGATCAAATACTATCGAGGCTATATCCCAGGCATTTGAGAGCGGATGCACGGTGCCAGGACTCGTTGAACCCGGTTTGTTTTGAGCTACCCGCTTATTAGCATAATTTCAGCAGAAAGACGCGAATGTTTTTGATATTTTTTCACCTGACGTTAGATTTATGGAATTTTGCTGCAACAAGTAATTCGGATAAGCGACGAATATCAGCCTACTCTCTGTCTGGGGTTCGTAGAATTTGAGGAGGTTTTCATCTTAGTCTAAATTCTTTCTGTTCTGCATTCCTTGAGGAGCCAGGTAAAAGAGAAAACGATATCAAGACTTTATGAAAATGACGTGGAAGAGTTGCTTCTGCTCGTGGGAAGCTTCACAAAAGCGTAATCAAGGTAATATTTCGAAGAGGACTTGTGAAAGAGTGATGCGCAATCACTGAAATTATTTCCTGATGGAAATTCATTTGAATAATCAGGAGCTGAAGACGAATGCGCACTACTTAAGCCATTTGCAGCTTGTGATCAACATTTTGATCTTCTAAACCCCATCAGAAGAACTCCAAAATAGAATCCAAGAGCTAATCGACGCCAGCATCAAAGCTGAACTAAAAATGAACCTGAAGAAACTTCAGG